CACTTATTTAGATGATCCAGCTGGAAATAAAAGATCGTCCTCTATACCTTTAAGGGTATGTGGGAGCTCACTGTGGTCCCACATGGAAGACTTTGCTACAGACTTTAGACAAGACCAACCTTAGCCCAGCCAGCTGACTAACTTAAGCAAATGCTCTCCCATGCAATGAACCTATTAGAAATATTGCCGATGTAAGTTAAGTTTAAGCCACAAAGCACATGTGGCCTCCCAACTTAGAGTAAATGGTAAATGGCATTTACTTATATAGCGCCTTTATTCGAGTCAGAAGACTTGACCAAAGCGCTTTACACTACATTCATTCACCCATTCACACTCACACACTGATAGCAGCAAGCTACATTGTAGCCACAGCTGCCCTGGGGCTCACTGACAGAAGCGGGGCTGCCGTACACTGGCGCCACCGGGCCCTCTGACCACTATCAGTAGACAATGCAGGTGAAGTGTCTTGCCCAAGGACACAACGACAACCCTTCGATTTCAGGGCAAACTCCTACATCCAACGCCACTGTCGCCCCTGAGCACCCTGCTAACAAAGTGTTGCTGCCTCCCTTACTGGAGCCTGCCTCCCACTGACAAGGCTGACATAGTACAGGGATTACCTGCCTCCATCTCTGGTGTTTTCCTATCCTCTGTTTCATATTATTAGAGGAGATCCGGATTTAAATTAAATTATTAAAAAATTGATGAGAATCTTTTGAGGTGAGTCAATTAATAAGTGGTACAGACAGTCCTTGCCCAAGCAGTCATCACTGACCAATCTCACCACCCATTTTGCAGTTGAAGTCTGGGTGACATTGAGGTGTAAAAAACTCACACATTATCGATGATAATTATCTTAACAGACCCAAATGGGTATTGCTGTGTTATTCTACCCTGTTGTTTCCCCTTTTTTTTGGACTGTACATTATTTTTTGATTCTTCCTAAGAGGGACAGTTTAGAGAATTGTGGAGAGAACTCCACCTTCTCTAGACCAGGACATTTTTCTCTTCGAGGACTGGTAAAATGGAACTCCCAACCGGTGGGAAGAATTTAAATGAAAGGAACTTTAGTTAGAAAATGTATCTTTATGAAAATATTTTTTTGAGTATCTTCTAAGCTTGGGCGATTAGAAAATCTGTCAACCATTGACAATAGACTCAGCACTTCAACAATTATTTTTTTAAGAGCAACTTTTAGTTTCTTTTTTCGACCGGGCTGCCGTTACCCTCAGAGCTTTGCTGGTTGGCGTGGTCCTCTCAACTTCAGAACATTTGTTTAAAATTCCACATTAAATAGGTAAATGGGCCATATAGTGACCCCTAAAAGTATAATGTTCTTGCCTCAAATGATCTTAAAACATACTTTTATTGAACAGCAGCAACAGAAAAGAGAACTTTTAACTTAATTATCTGAGCTCTGTGAGCGCTCCATTGAAAGGAGACGGAGAGACTCATCCACGACCTCCGACACAAAACTTTCCTCCTCTTGCATGTTTCCGCTGTCCATAGCGTTTCTTGATAGTGACGTTAAGTCACCAATTTAGTGCCACTCCCAATGTAATTTCCCATCGGGAACCTACTAGCAATTAGTTGGTAACCGGTTAGCAATGATGCTTCCAAAAACTGGCCACAATCAAACTTGCTTGCGAACCTTCTGCCACAACAATCCCGCCCTCTTGATAAACTACCAATCAAATTCACCTTATTCACTCATGTAAAGTCTTGCACCACTTGGGAGAATTGGGAACTGAAACGTTTGGAACAGCATTTTTCCCACGACTTTTATGTTTGATGCAACATTAGGTCTAAATGCACCCTGCTTAACTTTGTTGGATGTTGCATTACGTGATATATTGCAAGTGTTTTATTTTGTTGTGTGGGTGATTGCTGAGTGATTTGACTGCAGATTGTATTGTGATTGAGACTGATCACAATGTCCATCACACGCTCCTGGCTGATTAAAGCTTTCCATTCCTTTGTTGTTTCGTGGTATTATTCGAACCCAGTCCCTTCCTCCTTTTCCGCTATTAAGATTGGCTGTTAATTGAACTGGTCAGGGCCAGTTGCCACTCCTCCTTGTTTCCCACCATTGATGCTATCTTGTAACTGAATAGTTCTGTTGATTCGGTTTAGTTGTCACTTCTCTTTTCCTGCCTGCTAAGGTTACTGTAAGTCAGACTAGCTGACTGGCAGTTTGTTCTGGTCCTTCCCCTTCCGCCCCTCATCACTAGCTTGTTAGCTATAGCACCTATCAGTCTACTTTCAAGTCATATGCTTTTTCTAGTGTTTGATTCATTAACAATGGTGATTAATTGAAATAATTGTTTACAGTTGATTCATTTGATTAGAACAATGCATTATTGATTATTATTTCACATTTTTATTATTAACTATATTCATAATCAAAGAGATAAAACTGCATAACAACTTTAATGCAGTATTAAAGTTATTTCTGCATTTCACTGGACAAATATTTACTATGGAGGAAGAAGAAATTGTCTAGTCTTGCTCAGTGAGAAACGGAAAGACAACTGGGTCTATATGGAAGCTGCCTTAAAGGTGGGGTATATGATCCTGGATAAACGGTTCCTGCCAGCTACATTTTTGAAAATACACACCTTCAGCCCACCCCACGAAACCACGCCTCCAAATTACATGAACGCGCCTGCTGTCAGTCGAGAATGTTCGGATGTTCCCGAGAACGAGAAAGAAACAGGCCGAGACCTCGCGAGTGCACGTGACTCGGGATGAGGCGAGAAGCTCATGTCTATTACTAGCTAACCACAACATAACAGGCTAACTTCCATGATGGCGTCGTCTTCTCCTAGTACGGTAAGAGTGTTGAACAATTCAATATGGTCGTAAACAAGTTGTCACGGTTGTCATTTCAAGAAGTATTGATTAGGGTGACCAAACGTCCGTATTTCCCGGGACATATCCGTATTTCACGTCCTGTCCCGGGCGTCCCGGGTTTTTTTTAGAAAGTGAGGAAATGTCCTGATTTCACTGCGCACGACGCTCCGTGTGACGTAATCCCTGAGCCGCGTCAGTGCAGGCAGCCCTGTTCTTAATCAGAGGCTCTGTTCAAAAACCTGGGCTGCATCCTCCAAGGACGCGGTCTACCTAGACTGGACCCTTCGAAGTCCTTGAAAATAAGGAGACCACAAGAGTTCTGTCTGTAAATTCGAACAGGTCCTCCCTTCAGCGGCACTTGGGGGGGGGTGTCACGAGTCTGTGAACGCGCAGGGGGGAGGGGTGGGGAGAGCTCAGAGCTGACGGTTGATGGGCGTGCCAGAAACCAGTAGAAGTAGGGATGATAGTTACTTCTATTGGTTTGCGTTTTCCTCTGACTACGCCCTCTACACTGGACTAAAAGATTTCGTTTTTTCCCAAACATTCTATCTCAGTTGGCGCAATGGGCTCGTGAGGAGGTTTTCAATCAGTATGGTAAAAACATGCTCCAGAAAACATCACATACCCCACCTTTAATCCAGCCCACTGAGCCTAATGGATGAAGTTCATAGTTAAGAAAAATGTATGAGTGCACTGCTTGAACACTATGAAATATATAAATTCAAAGTGAAAAAAAAATGCTATTTTAAAAAATATCTTTTTAAAAAATGTGTTTGATTGTTTAGTGTTGTCATTTTAAAGGTATATTAATTTTTTTATTTGCACATGTATTTATTTAATTGTATTTTGTATAATTAAATGGTTAAATTGATTTTTTTCCCTTCAACCCTCCACAATAGACATGTTCTATGTTTTAATAACCTTTCTACTTGAAAAAGCCAGAATAAAAAAGAGGTTGTTGAAAAGGGGGAGTGGGGCAATGAAAGAGTCTTAGGGTTCAATATTAAATCACTTGTTTTAATCTAAATTATACATTATTAAAATGCATATTTAATAAAAATAATGAGCATTTATGACAGATTATACATCTTTTCTGCATACTTTTTATCTACCTTTATTATTTTCCCTCCAGATTACTGAGGAACCCCCCACCTCCCACTTGGATAACCACTACAGTGTTTTAGAAAAGCATGACTTGTAGGATTATTGACTTATGTGTTTTAAAAAAAGTTCTCTTGGGATGACTCTTGAATTTGCTTGATAATCAACATGGTCAATTTATTTAATCAAATTTCAAACTAATAAGATATCGGTTCCCGCTAATTAATGCAGCATGTTGATTGTATAATTCTAAGATAAATTATTTTAATTCAGAAAATTGTAATTCTCGATTCCATTTGATCAAAAACTTAAGTTTTATGACGTTACAAGGACTTTTAAGCTTTAAAAAGGTGAAAAAAGAAGATTAATTCTGAGCAAGTAGCTTGTTTTCACATCCATATTGTCTTATTGCCATAGCTCCATATCAATAGACTGGTTCACTTTCAGCTTGCAGTAATTTATAGTTGGATGTGCCTAGATGAGCTGTCTAAAAAGAGCTATCCACTTCTCTTTTAAGTGCTCTATTACCACCCACACCCAAGATGGTCCACATGTGTCACACAAAGCTAATTTACTTCCACCACAGGCCATTTAAACAATTACTGAAACTAACACGGAAACATAGTGATGAAATGACACTTAATGTACACACATCTATCCCATCCCTCTACCAGTCCATGACAGGACATGTTTCTCTCTCCATTATTCTACCTCTCCCCTATATCAGTCAGTCTGCAGTTGATTTATTTATGATACAGTATAAAATTATAGCTTGAGTACCACATACTATGTTTAAAAGGGACATTTAAATTAACATTTAAAGTGGAGGGGGGGAATTAAATGGATACTTCATGCATGAAAACAGGGCTTTTGTCAGCGATGAACTGGGTCAGTGTGATCAAATCAACTTATACTAAAGAGTGAAAACATAAGTCAGAAATATTTTACTTGTCCTAAATGTGACAATTTTTATTTTTGTCTAAAACTAAGATAACATGAAACTCAAATATCTGAACAAAACCAACTGCGCTCGCTTCTCTTTACAGTGCCTACAGGACTGAGTCCACCTCGTTTACGTCCCGTAAATGAAACCACCATTCAGATAGATTGGGATCCTCCAGATCAACTTAATGGACCAAGCCCACTGTATCAGGTAGGACTGATTTTCTGTAGAATCAAATGTTTCTATTGGATTTTTTTTATTATTTACAGATAATATTAAAATTTTGTTTATAGACCAAGACTCTTTATTTTCACTTGTCTGGTCTCACTTGTCTCAAGTGGAGGAGTTCAAGTATCTTGGGGTCTTGTTTACGAGTGAGGGACGGATGGAGCGTGAGATCAATAGATGGAATGGTGCAGCATCAGCAGTGATGCGGTCACTGTATCGGACTGTCGTGGTGAAGAGGGAACAGAGTCGGGGGGGACAAAGCTCTTGATTTACCGATCGATCTACGTTCCCACCCTTACCTATGGCCATGAGATTTGGGTAATGACCGAAAGGACAAGAACACAAATACAAGTGGCCGAAATAAATTTCTTTAGCTGGGTGTCTGGGTGCAGCCTTCGAGATCGGGTGAGGAGCTCAGTTACCCGGGAGGAGCTTGGAGTAGAGTTTCTGCTCCTCCACATCGAAAGGAGCCAGCTGACATGGCTTGGGCATCTGTTTTGGATGCCTCCTGGTCGCCTCCTTCGGGAGGTGTTCCAGGCATGTCCCATTGAGAGGAGGCCTCGTGGAAGGACCAGGACACACTGGAGGGACTATTCTCTGAGCTGGCCTGTTGTCGCCTGTGGGTAGGGGGCGAAAGAAAATGGATGGATGGTCTCAATGAGATCTATTAAATAGCATAAATTAGTGATTTTCAGTTTTTTTTTTTTTGCTGATTTGGCATTTCTTCATTATCTTGTCAAGTTTTATGTGCTTGACATTATCTTGTCAAGCACATATTGTTTCAGAGGATTTCTAAAATAACATTGTTGATGGTATAGATTTTTTTGTCCTAATGCCAAGGTTTGGCATTGTTAGAATTATGATGAGAATTAGAATTATGATGTGTGTGTCTGTTAAACCCTTGTAATACCTGCCTGTTGCTTGTCAGAACTAATGTTTTTCCAAGCAGTTTATCTAATTAGGACAGTTCTTCTGTCAGGATATACAGTTATCATGTTCATTATGTAGATAACAGAGATTTGGGAATAGAGTTCTCTGTGTTTTTATCAGAGATAAAAACTATTATAGTTTGATATGGCTGGAGTGAGGAATGTCTCCCCATTTACAAACATGTATGATATAATGATATGAGATGTGGCAGACTGGAGTTGTATGAAATGCTTCTTTTTCTGTATTTCGGGGACACTTCAATGAAGATTGAGCCCTTTTGGTAAGCGCTGCCTTCTGTAATCCAAAGCAACCTCTTTGGAATTAGTAGGATTACAATCTCTGTCTAAATCTTTTGTTGAATGTTATGGTTATTTAATACATATTCATTATGAAGTATTGTTTAAAGATTTTGTCCCGAGTGATCTCTTCTCAGGAAAACAACCGGAGAGAGAAAGCTTCAAGGTGTAAACACGGAGCAAACAGTATTTGTTGTTTGGAGTGACTGTATTTCACATCTAAACATTGAAATACTATAAATGATGCCACTTTTATTAAATACCATCTTCTCCTTTTCATCTGGGCCTACCCCCCTTGGAACTTTAATTTACCCTAGCAATTTTTTAAAAGCTTCTCACTTTGGAGTCATACACAGAGATTTTATTACTGCATTATATTGTCACATCTATTATCTTTTATAATAAAAAAAAAAAAACACTACTAAACTTCTTGTAAAGGTATTACTGTATACAGTTTTAAAGCGACTTGGCTAATGCAGATCCCCTTGCTCTACAGTACAATGCTATCAACAAGTGGCTACGGTCGCTACGTGCTAAGAAGCTAACGTAACGTAGCCAACCTGGATACTAAATGCTATGAAAGTTAGCCAACATTAGTTAGTTTATCATTGGGACATTATAGCCGTTGATTTAATGTCACATTATAAACAACCACCAACAATATTTCTGTTAACTTACCGTAATGTCTTTGTGGTGAACTGGGACGTGTCTCTTCAGGTTTGTTGTGTTTTTTCCAGCTACTATGTGGCCCCATTCCTTCCCTTCGACTAAAATCAAGCATTTGGTTTTGTTCTCCACTTCAATGAAGTGAAAATATGTCCATATATCACGTCTCCTGTCTCCTCCGAGTGTGGCGGAGGAGACAGGGTTTGAAAAAACCATAAAATAATAATATGTAATTTTCGTCTCGTCTTTGTTCGTGAACTAAAATGTCCATAGATTTTAGTCCAGTCTTTATTTACCGAACTGCATTTTCATCTCGTCTTTATTAGTCCACAAAAATTATTTCTGATCTACTCCCAGTTATTGTTTATTAGTGGGGATTTTCGTCTCGTCTCGTCTAGTTTTCGTTCGGTGAAAAATGTGCGTTGACGAAAATATTTTCGTTTAGTTTTCGTTAACGAAATTAACACCACTTTATGGTACGCCAGCATTCATAACATGTAGGCGAATCGCTGTCCCCCAGAAATCTGCGGTTATATTTTTCATATTTATATTTTTAAATTTTTTTACAGTGTCGTGCCGCCTGTTCCCCAGGCTGCCTGTCACTAATCTAGTCTGGCGCGTGGATGACGTCATACATGTGCCGCTTTGTTTTTAAAAGATATAAATATAAAAAATATAACCGCGGATGTCTGGGGGACAGTGATTCGTCTACATGTTCAGGGCTCAATGTTAATCATTGCCCGATCGCCCGGGGCAAGTAGTTTTTATTGTCAGGAGATTACAAATTTCATTGCATTTGCCCGGCGGGCAAGTGCAATAATGATCGCAAAAAAAAACAATTATTTATCACTCAAAATTACTTTAAAATCACCAACATTCGCTGAATACGACCCACAAGCGTTGCCGGTGCCATTTTTGTTTTGTACACATTCTCGCGTGATTTTCCGTTAGATGGCATGATTCAGCTCTTGGGGAGAGAATTCTGCAGAGCAGCAGCTGGATGATGAATTTAATCTATACTATGGCTCTGTTCGAAATCCTCGGCTGCATCCTTCAAGGACGCTGTCTACCTAGACTGGATCATTCGAAGTCCGTGAAAATAATGCGACCGGACAGGTTTACCCTTCGGCGGGTTTTATCTCCGTATGGTCTGTTGCTTAGCAACTGTGAAAATTGACACAGAAAGCAGGAAAAGAATGAATACCGAAATTTCCAAAACTGTTGGTTTATTTATTTATTTTTATTATAAAGTGAACAAAGACTACACTCACAAGAATCCAGAGTGGAACAAAGTTGCCAACCATCGGGAGCAGGAACAAATAAAATCAAATGTAATGACAGACCAGTCTGAAAAACAGTCTGTATTCGCTATCTCTGTTTACTCAACTAATAATTTATTTTCTTGTTTCAATACAAGATTAGCAAAAACAAAAAGATAAACATTTATGAGCAAGATGTTTTTGACAAAGAAGCAAAAAGATTGCAACACCATTGTTTGGGGTTGCTTCATTGCTTTGCTCTGACTGATACTCTGAATTTTTCCAATGCGCAGGAATACCCAATAACAACATCATTCCAACTCTGTACTAAAAACATTTTTACCCAGAGGCTGTGCTTTCAATATAGGAAAAGTCTCCAGAACTCAACCCAATACCAAAAAGGTAAAAATGGTCATAGTTAAGTGAAGTTAACACTAGAAGTCCTAGAGAATTTCAGTTTTCCTGCAAGTCCCCCTCCCCTCTTCATGTTTGTGTATTCACTCTACCTTCCTAAATGTCCCTATTGTAATGCAAATAGCCTATGATATGACCAGCCCTTCTACATGAGACTGGATGAAGGCTGAAACAAACTGGCATCAGAACAAGAGCAAGCTCCAAGCACTCATTACCTGCCCCTGCAACATCAGAACTTTTTGCAGGAATATATTGATAATTCATATCTAAATCTTTTATTTAGTCAAACCTATGGAACCACAAGGTATCATACGGGTTCTAGTTCCTGAGCTGAGAACAGTTCATAACCATGCTTTTCCAACAAGGCAAGGCATAGCCTATTTATATTGTCCATTCACCAACAGACTCATTTATATTGCAAAGTTCACTATGTGAAAGAAAGAACAACTTAAAGAATAATTGTATTTTGTCTTGTCTTGCCTTTTCATGTCATTCAACTTAGAAAATGACAAACAGTATGACTTCAGTATTGGAGTAACATTATTTCACCCAACGAAAAGCACTATATATGAAGCTACAACTGTCCCATTTAGTAGTTTGCACAAACCCAAGGTGAGTTCTTCCTGCATTTGCAACAGGTATACTTTGTGCAGTGCACACAGATATCAGAGAGAAGGCACCAAACGCAGTTTAGGGGTCATAGTTACCTCAGTTGCTGCCTCACCTTCCAGAGATAAACCAGTTACTAACCCAACACTATCATCTGAAACCCCAAGTGTGGATGGCTGCAGGCCAGCTGATATTTATCTACAGGATGTCGTGTGAAGTTAGGAAACTTAGTGGGAAGCATTTCTTGCAAGAGATAATATTCAAATTTATTTAAAATCCTTAGGTGAGACGGAGAGTATATAAAAGCTCTGACTTAACCATCCTAAGCACATACACTCACCGGCCACTTTATTAGGTACCCCATGCTAGTAACGGGTTGGACCCCCTTTTGCCTTCAGAACTGCCTCAATTCTTCGTGGCATAGATTCAACAAGGTGCTGGAAGCATTCCTCAGGGAGTTTGGTCCATATTGACATGATGGCATCACACACTATTGGATTGAGATCTGGTGACTGTGGAGGCCATTTGAGTCCAGTGAACTCATTGTCATGTTCAAGAAACCAGTCTGAGATGATTCCAGCTTTATGACATGGCGCATTATCCTGCTGAAAGTAGCCATCAGAAGTTGGGTACATTGTGGTCATAAAGGGATGGACATGGTCAGCAACAATACTCAGGTAGGCTGTGGCGTTGCAACGATGCTCAATTGGTACCAAGGGGCCCAAAGAGTGCCAAGAAAATATTCCCCACACCATGACACCACCATCACCAGCCTGAACCGTTGATACAAGGCAGGATGGATCCATGC